GAGGGCATTTGATAACATGTCCCCCCATTGGGGGATGACTTTATCTACCGAGCTCCTCGTCGGCCCTGCTGGCCCCGCGGTTCTGTGGATGACTTCGATTCCTTGTCTTCGCGGTCTTGACAGCCGCTCCCGTCGTCTCGGCCTCGGCGTCGCCACCGTCGGAGTGGTCGCGCTCGCCGTCGGAGTTGTTGGCCCCGTCGCTCTTGTCTTCGGGCGTGTTTTTTTGTTTGGGTGGGTTGCCCCCTTTCAGCCGCGCCCGGATTTTGCCCCTGGCCTCTTCCGCGGAGACGGGGCTCGCGCGCAGCTCGGCCTTTGGCGTGCCAGGTGTGCCGGGAGCGCTGACATCGCCGATCGGAAGGGCTGCTTGCGCCGACTGCTGGCGCCGCCTGTAGCTGATGGCCCCGGCGTCGCTGCGGTCGCTCCTGTCGGCGAGCTGCGTCGCGAGGTCCACCGACGGCGACGCAGTCATCGCCTTGAGCCTCGCTTTGCTCTCGCGCGTGGGGGCGCCGTCCGCGAGCGCGAGGAACTGCGCGGCGCCGAGCGGGGAGCCCACGGGGCCAGCTTTGCTGAACACCCGAGCGTAGATCTCGCCGTGGACCCAGGCGAAATCCGTCGGCCTCGCGGACGCCTTCGCAGGGGGGCGCCGCATTTGACGACGTCTCGGCAGCGGCCAGCTGCTTGCGCGCCTGCCACGGGATGAGCTTCCTGGCGTACGTCGTCGCCCTCTTGGAGAAGCCCCGAGGGGCCATGGGGCACTGGCGCAGCGCCCAACCGACGCCCTGCACCTGCCCGGCGACACAGGTCGCCGTCTGGACCGTCGGCTCGCTTATGGCGCGCCACCCGAGGGCCTTGCAGTGCCGGGGCACGACCCCAGCGCAACCCAGGAAGTCGCTGCCCTCGTCCATGATGACTTCCCACTGCTTCGCCGTCAGGTAGGCACTGATGGCAGTGAAATCCTGCCCGGGCGTGCGCGACGAGCTGAGCAGCTGCTGGCTCGCCGCCGCGTTGACCTCCAGCACCGTCGCCGAGGCCGTCGCGAGCGAGGTGGCCACCGCGAGGAGCTCGCCCCGCTTCTTCGCGCCGAAGGGCAGCTCCGCGATCGCCGCCGCGAGCTCGGCGGAGCCCTCGGCGGCAGTGAACGTCCACGGCTGCGTCGTGGACGACGCCGCGGCGACCTGGACATTCAGGAGCTCCTGCCGCGCCTCGCTGCCCGTCGGAAGCTTCGCGAGGAAGCCGGCGGCGGCCCTGAGCTGCGCGGGCAACTCTTTGGGCGCCGAACATCGCGAGCTGCGCCTGCAGCCGCGCAAGCGATGGCAATCGCTACCCTCGCTCCATCTCCAGCAGCTCCTACGCCGCAATGCGCCTGGATGGGGGGGGGGCAAGCCGCGCTCCGCGGCACGCTGCTCCCGCGGCGCCGATGGGCTCCTCGCGCGTGGCTCGCGACGCGCGCTGCACCGCGCGCGCGGCCAGAACGGCTGCAGCACGGACGCGCGTCAACTTCCCTCTTCTTTTTCTCCCCTCAAGCGATCGCAGTCGCTATCCTCGATCGCCCCGCAACCTTCCTCAGGCGACAGCTATCGCTATCTCCCTCATCACCTTCCCCCTACTCTTCCCCCCTCAAGGGGTTGCAATCGCTGCCATCCATCATCCCACAACCTTCATCAAGCGATCGCTATCGCCACCTTCCCCATCAACTTTCTTCACCCCTTCACCATCAAGCGTCGGCAACCGATACCCTCCATCATCCTGCAATCTTCTTCAAGCGATCCCTATCGCTATCTCCCCCATCAGCTTCCCTCGCCCCTTCCTTCCCTCGTGCGATCACAACCGCTACCCTCAATCACCCCACCAGTTTCCTCGAGCGATCGCAACCGCTATCCTCCATCATCCCACAATATTCCCCACGCGAACGTAATCGCTATCTCCCCCATCCGCTTCTCTCACCTCTTCCTTCCTCAAGCGATCGCAACCTTTATCCCCTATCATCCCGCAGCCTTGCTCAAGCGACCGCTATCGCTATCTCCTCCATCGATTTCCCCCTCCTCTTCCTACCTCAAGCGATCGCAATCGTTACCATCCATCATCCCACAGCCTTGCTCAAGCGATCGCTGTCGCTACCTCCCTCATCAATTCTCGTCTCCTCTTCCTCACCCAAACGATCGCAATCGGTACCCTCCACCATCCCACCCCCCTTACCCAAGCAGTCGCTGTCGCTATCTCCTGTATCAACTTCCCTCTCCTCATCCCTCAAGCGATCGCAATCGCTACCCTTCGTGGTCTCACATCTTTGCTCAAGCGATCGCCATCGCTATCTCCTCCATCAATTTCCTTCTTCTCTTCCTCCGACAAGCGATCGCACTCGCTACCTTCCATGATCCCACAACCTTCCCCAAGCGATCGCTATCGCTATCTCCTCCAGCAACTTCCCTTTCCCTATCCTCCTTCGCGCGATCGCAGTCGTTACCCTCCAACATCCCGCATACTTTCCCAAGCGATCGCCATCCATATCTCCTCCATCATCTTCCCTCTTTTTCTTCCTCTCTCAAACGATCGCAATCGCGAGCCTCCATCATCCCACAACCTTGCTCAAGCGATCCTCTTCTCTTCCTCCGTCAAGCGCTCGTAACCGCTACCTTCCATCATCCCACAACCTTCCTCCAACGATCGCTATCGCTATCTCCCCCATGCTCTGGAGGAGAGGAGCAGGATGAGGATGGGGGCAAAACAGGGAAGAGAAGGGAGCAAACGAGGTTTGTCTGCACGGTTTCACCTGCCACGGACGGCGGCGACCCGCGAACTAACTCGGCAGGGGAACCGGTTCCAGGCGCGCGAATCGCGGAAGGGGGCTGAGTGGAGCATAGGCTAAGGTTCTGCAGAAGTGCTAGTAAGTTGGGCTAAGTGACTTGCAGTTAATAGTAGTTAAGTTACTTAGTGCTACTTTAAAAGTAACTTAGCTCGCTGCCCAAAAGAAGACACACACTTGTATGCAGCACAAGTGTAGTTACACAACCAAGCAAACACTTACTTTACTTACCGGCTTCTTGCACAATTTGCGCCAACTACACCAGAACAGTAATTGCAACCCAGCCACAACGATTCCTTAAGTCGCATAAGAAGCGCCAGCCTCTAAGCAGGCTCCCGGGTTCCCAGGTTCCCCGTCGATCTCTTTGTCGATCCCACGGTTCATCAAACCATTATTTGAGTGGCGTTTTTCTCTGGTGTGATTTTGATGGGTAGCGGGGGGGGCGCATTGTTCCTGGTTTGTCGCCCGTCGGGTGGGGGACGCGGTGTATACTAACGAGGCGTAGTTATCGACCCCCCCCGAAGGAGAAAAGGGGCGTTGGAAGAGGAAACGCCCTGAACCACCTACGCCCTAAGTGGGCGTTGGGATTAATATATCGGCCATGCAATTTTCTTGAAGCTGATCAGGCCTAGATCTGGTTTATTCTGGGATTGTCAATGTAATCGTCCAGTCTGGCATTTTTTTTTGCATCGTGCCCGCGAAGATCCCCGAAGAGTTCTCACCTTGCGGTTTCGTGCGCCCCCATCGGTTTCGCCAGTCTTGCCCGATCAGCTCAGGGCTCAAGACGTGCGGAGCCGGCAAGCACCAGGGCCAGACCTGTCTCTCCAGTTTTCTCTGTCCTGCTCAAGGGCAGAGGTGTGAGCGCCTTTCCTTCCTCCATCGCTTCATAGCGGGGGGGCGACAGCTCTGGGCCACCCCAGGTGGGGCCCATTCTCGCCGACTCCGGTTCTCCCCCTGCCCCCCACCGCACCCCCGCCTTCCGTTGCCGCCCGCTGGGAGTTCAACGGACGAAGAACGGCATAAAAAACACCTTTTCGCTGTCGGGGGCGCCTGTCCGAGGGCGGCTGGAAAGTTTGGACCCTTGGGGTGGCTCGTCAAGGTGTAATCTTTCCAGCCGCCCTGGGGTAGCGCCCCGGTGACGCAAAAGTTGATTCAATCGTTTCGCTCATTCCGCCGGCCCATGTTGCATGATCGCTACTGCTTCACCGTGGGCCCGGGGCCATTGTGGTGCCGCCGAGGAGGAAGAAGATGAGGATGGGGAAGGGGAGGGGAGGAGGAGGAGAGGATGAGAAGGAGAGGAGGAGGATGAAGATCAGTAGGAGGAGGAGGAAGAGGAAGGGGCGGAGGAGGAAGCCTCTCGTTTTGCATCTTGTGTTGCTCTTGGGGCCAAACAGGGTCGTCGTCAAGATGCTTCTTTGGGAGGCATCTTGGGGTCTTTTGAGAAGCCGTTCGGGGGCGCCTGGGAAGCATTTGTGAAGCCTTCTGGGGGGCCTCCTTGGGGCCTCCTGGGGCCTCTTGGGGGCCTCTTGGCGGCATCTTGGGGCCTCTTGGGGGCCTCTCGGGGCCTCCTGGGGCCCTCTTGGGGCGGAAGGCGCGAGGTTTCGGTTCGTGGTCCCCCTCTTGGGCCCCTCTTGGGGCCGTCTTGGGGCCGTCTTGGGCCGTCTTGGGCGCCTCTTGGGCCGTCTCGGGGCCCTCTTGGGGCCCTCTTGGAAGACTCTTGGCCCGTCTTGGGGCGCTCTTGGGGGCCTCTTGGGCCGTCTTGGAGCATCTGATGGCCGAAAAGGGGACAAGGCCCAAATCCTTCCAACATTATTGTAAAATGTATGATTTTGGCCTCTCCGGGCCCTCTTGTGAGGCCTCTTGGAGGCCACTTGGAGGCCTCTTGGGCCGTCTTGGGGTCATCATCGGCGTCTTGGAGCGCTCTTTGGGCGTCTCGGGGGCCCTTTGGGCAGTCTTGGGGGCCTCTTGGGGCACTCTTGCCGCGCTCTGGGGGGCCTGAGAAGCCACACCCAGGAGGAAAACCATCTCTGGGTAGCAGTGGTCGGGCTGCGGTCGGGGTACTTTTCGCCGGGGGACCCCAAGGGGCCGCCCCGCGCGCGTGAACTAGAAATATTGTTAACCAGTTACCGGAGATCTTAGCACGCCTCTGGCCCGTTGGGCCGGCGAATTTTGTACCGTTCTTCGCCCGCCCGCTAAGAAGTGGCCCGACGGTGTGGGGTTGCCGCCTGGGGGGACCTGTGACGGAGTCAGGTGCTCCCAGGCGAAGTCTTTCTCGTAGGTTGTAGATGCTCAGGGCCGCCGAGGGGGGGGGCAGGTTTGGAGGGTTTCTCCGAAGGGCATAGGCGACCCGTCCTCCTCCTCCTCCTCCTCCTCCTCCTCCTCCTCCTCCTTCTCCTCCTCCTCCTCCTCCTCCTCCTCCTCCTCCTCTCTCCTTCTCCCTCCTCCTCCTCCTCCTCCTTCTCCTCGGGTCGACTACGGCCCCGGGGAAACCGTGCATGCCGAGGGGGGGGGCTGGCTCACGGGGGGCACACCAACCCCCAGTCGCCCATACATCGCAGATCGTTGCCAGCTTCAAGCATGTCCACATCTCTATGTTTGGCAACGCCTCACCTCGGTGCCAATCTCAAGGACTCCCTCGGCTTCTGAGGGCACGTCCCGAAGACTGGGGAAACCAACAGGTACCGATACAGCTACTCCCTGGACCTCTCCCGGGGTGCGTGACCAGGATTTCGAGGCGAATCCGGCGGTGGCGACGAGGGCCGCCAAGGAGACCCAAAATGGGGAGAACGAGGGAAGGGCAGAGGTATGGGTACCCTTTCCTCCTCCCAAAGACTGTCGTCGCCCCAGGCTTGCCGATCTCAGGGATAGGGATACGTTCGAGGCTGGCCAGATCGGGGCTTGGGCGCCCTCCCCTGCCCAGGAGCGTCCAGCCTCGCGTCGGCAATGCATCGATTCCGTGCCGATCGGAAGCTGGGCGAGGGCTGGCCAATCCGTGGCTGCTAAAACGGTCTTCCAGGAAAAACGAATTCCTGGAATAAGACTCAGCGCGCTAAACAGTAAACGGGCTGCTTCCCCGAAGAAAAATCACTTTCCCGGGGCTCCGTTTTAGCAGCCACGGGTTTGCCAGCCTTCGCCTGGCTTTTGTGCCGACCTCTCCGCGGAGCCAGTGCCCCTTTTTCGGCCCCCTCGTGCCAGATTGTGCACGCAGCGCTGCCGGCGGCTCTGCGGAAAAGGGGGGTGCGCACACCCTCGTCCGCACCCTCCCCCCACCCTCCCCCCATCCTCCCGTTTTGTTGTTGTTGTTTTCTTTAGCCCTGCTAGACATTGGAACGCCCTGCGGGCTTCCAGAATATCCCCTTCCCTCCCTCCCCTCCCTTCTCTCTCCTCCCTCCTCCCTCCTCTTTCCTTTTTACCTCCCTCCTCCCTTCTCCCTCCCCCCTACCTCCCTCCGCGTCGTCTTCCGCCCTTCTCACTCTTCCCTCCCGCTCGGGAGCCCCTCGACCCTTTGAATCTCATGTGACTTCTCTTGCCCCCGTTAGTCCCGAGCCCGAGAGCTCGATACAAAGATCGACAGTCTCCCCAACCTTATCATCCTTGCCCCTCATCCCCCCACATCATATCCCTTCCCTCCTTCGCCTAACCCTCCCCCTCTTCCTTTTAAGGGCTGGCAGCCGAGTGTGCAGATCTGTCGCATCAGGTTAGCTTTCGAGCTCGCGGGCCCCTTTTCAAAGGAACCTCCGTCTGAGACTTTGGTGTTCCGATTGCCTCCCTCCCCGCCCTCCCCCATGTTTCATCCTTCATTCTTGATGCCTCATTCCTAAGTCCTCCGCCCTGATTCATTTTTTATTATATATCTCTCTGTCTCCTCTTTCCCTCCCTCCCTCCCTCTCCTGGGCCCACCGAGCTGCAGATGCTCGTCTCCCTTGCCCAGCGCGAAGGTGATGAAGCAACGGCTCAGAAGTACCAGGTGATTGTTTTTTATTCATTGTTTTGCCGATCGGCGCGGGCCCCCCAACCCCCTCTCCCCCCCCATGGAGTAGATCTTGGCTGTTTTGGGCGCCTGTTTCGAGCAGGTGGAGTCTCTGTTCATAGGACCCAGGAGCCAGACCCCCCCCCTCCCCCCTTTCCGCCCAACGTCGAAACGCAGAAAAACAACGGTCACCAAGCCAAGATTGAAGCTCTTACCGTCAATGCGAATCCCCAGATCAAGATTCGGATCTGCACCGCGACATTCCGAAGCTGGACAAAAATATGGAGGGTAAGTTGTCCAAGTGCAACAGATGGAGAGAGGGCGTGCGCAAGCAGGAGGTCTACCTCAACGATCTCTCGGCCGAGTCCAAGTCCCTGTCCAAGTCCCTTGTCGGGCAGCATCGTATCTTCGTGACCAAGCTCCACACCTCAGTCATGCCCGTCGAGTCCGCTGCTCCAGCTCCTGCCGCCGCTGACCTGGCTCTTTTTCGCTGCGCGACCTGCTGACAAGGAAGATTTCCACCATCGCCATCGACGACGGCGGCCTTTTTCCAGCGAGCTTCCACGCGAGAAAGAGCTGGAGCAGGCCAGAATCGACGAATCGGCTGGGCGCCGCGTGCAGTTCAAGGAACGCATTGCCAACGCGGCCAAGCCGCTTTTCGAGAGCGCCTTTCGGAGAGCCGAGGCTGTCAGGATAGAGCACGATACCTACCTTAAGCGCATCGTTTGCGATCGTCGGTGGGGCATTGACGGAGATGCCTGCCAGGCGGTGGAGGCTCGTCAGGCAGTGGCGACGCTGGGGGAGTTGCGCCCGTGGCGCCCGCGGCGTCTGGATGCATTGGAGGTAGGCGACGGCGACAGCGATGCAACAGCACCTGAATGTGCGTCGGCCGAAAGCGTTCGTGAGGCTATTGCGGCCATCGATCCGCGCGTTGAGTCGCAGGCGGGAGGAGTTGCGCGCGGGCCTGATCAGGCAGCCCCCCCCCCTGGCGGCAATTGTGGTTGAGAGGGGGGGCGCTCGTCATCATTTGAGCTCTGACTGTCAGAGCATACATGCTCTCATTCGGTCCGGGTACACGCGGGCCTTTCCCCCCCCCGTTATTTGCTTCATGCGTTATCTGAACTTGTAGATTCAGAACGCCAAAGGGCGAGGGTGAAGACGACCCTGCCCCGTCCTCGTCTTCTGTGCTCCGACTTTGGCTTGTAGGTCGCAGCAGTCTCCAGGCTGGCCGGCATCGGTTGAGGCCTACCCTCGCCCCATCCTCCTCGCCCCCGAGGCCGAGTCGTTCCGTCTGAGCGCCGTCTCTGTTAGCGGCAGCTCGCGCGGGTCTGCGAAAGGTTGGTTCTTTCGTTTCAATTTCCGAGCATTTTCTCTGGGCGGGGGCCACATGGTGAAATCTGAAATGCCGTTTCGACTGATTTTCGAGGTTTGAACCTGCAAAAGGTGAATCACACGACGGATTGAATTTCGCGGTGCAAGAGTCCATCTTGATTTCGCCCTGAGCCCTCCACCCTAAGTTAATGCTCAGATTTCAGAGGTTGTTCTTGTCCTGGAGCGCAAGGTCGCGTCCCAGGAGGCTGTGGATCGCGCTCTGTCCACGAGGGGGAGGTTTTCCAGCGCCGTTCGGGTTGCCTCGGAGATTATGAGGGACATGTCCGAGAGCAACCTTGGCTCTTTGGCGTCAGTTGTGGCGGTGAGGTCCCTTTGCGGGAAGCCTTCTCCTGGCGGGGGGCGACTGAAACGCGGGGCCCCCAGGCTTGGGAAAGTCATCCTTCGTCAGCTCTCTCTTCGGACAGGTCATCTGCAGCGGCAAACCCCCGTGCTTCAAGGGGGGGCCGATGACCGTGACCATTTTGTTGTATCTTCGAGAGTGGCGAAGGCGACCCAGGCATCATCCGCAGCGATGATGCTGCGATGCTGGTGTCTTTGCCCATCTGTTCGTCTTGACTTTCGCCCCCGCATCGCTAGGTTGCGCCGCCTTGCTTTCGGGGGGCTGGCTCCGCTGCCCGTCGCGCCGCTAGTGTGACCTCAGCCCGAGCTCATACTTTCGAGTGCGTGGATGCCCAGTCAGACGCCACCCTCATTCCTGCCCGTCGTGGAGACGACGCGCCGACGACCTTCGCGCTCTTCAGCGAGGCGCGCGCGTCCTCTGTTGCCCTGGCGGGGCGGGAGCTGGCCGTGACTTTCGGGGTTGAGCTGCGCGTTTTGGGTTCGATCGGCAAGGGTCCCATCGCCCACCGGAGGCCCATCTTCGGGACAAACGTAAGGTTTGTGTCGGATGTCCCCGGCTCCGCGCTTGCCGCTGGCTTGCCGGTGCCTTTGAGCGTCCTCTTGCTACCGCCCAAAGAGCGGATTGGCCTCGGGCTCGCGATTCGGCCCGGATTTTCGCGTGGCCCTCCCATAGTGTGCGCGGGCCCGTCCTTCGCGAGGGGCCCGAGGGGGGGCCCTGAGGTTCCGCGGTCATCATGATGGGTTTCCGGACCTTCTGGAAAGAGTTTCGAAGTTGGTTTCGGATTTCTTCGCGAGTGGCATTTGGGATAGCACCTGTCAGTGCCGCGCTGGATGCTTCGGCGACGTCGATTCTGAGTTCGCGGAAGGATGTTCCAGCATCCGTGCGACCGAGGCCCGCGAGGATTAGGCCAGTTGGCCCGCGGACAAGGCGGGCCCAGGGGAAGGAGGGCGCACTCTTTCACGAAGGACCCGCGTGCCTGGAAGGCCAGCGCCATTCTGTTCCGCGGGCCGCATGTGAGTCCGACCCGCAGCGCCTCTGAATCGACGAGGCCTCGCGTTTCCGGTGCTTTAGGGGGTCGCTGGAGACCCGCGCCAGGCGGTCTGGTGCGATCGACGACTTCCCCGCTTTCCATCCCTCCGTCTGAGACCAGAAAGCTATCTAAAGACTTTGCGCGGCGATCCGCGGTTGGGCTTTTGACGGGCTCCGCCTGCGCCATTCTGCGCAGCTGGCTGGAGGGGCCTTGGCGGCTCGCTCAATTTTTGTTAATGGGGCCATGGAAATGGCGGGCATGCGTCAGGAAGGGGAGAAACACACGGACACCATGAATCGTCGATCCCCAGAGAAGGAAAATACAAGGAAATATGGGAAGTGAGGGGGAAGACGAAACTTTTGAAAATATGGGAAAGTATAGGGAATCATGTTATTAGTGTCTATTTATGTGTGCGCCCCTTGGCCCCTTCATCAGTGTCGCGCGCGGTCATCATCCCTATGTTGCCGAAGCCCACCTCCGGATGCAGGCCGACCGGAGTTTTTTCCTCGGTCTGCTCCGTCGGCGGGGCAGGTGCCGCCGCGCTTTTTGTCGCGCGGCTGGGAGCTGCAATCCGGCGCGTTTCTTGGGCGGCTAGCCAGCGCAAGTCCGCCAGCGATGTCGCGTGGAGACAGGCGAGGCGGCTAGGTCGGAGGTCTCGCGTCCAGTCGTTT